AAAGAGGACATGGTCAACTTGGAGGAAGGGTGTAGTCGCACTTCTCGCCATTCGGCCAAGTTCTGGAGTGAACCTGAACAAGCATGCTGTCCTGGGGCATGGTCCCACTAGCAACGGGGATTCGATTCAGATCCTGAATCTGGGCGTGTTTTACGCGGAGATGCAGAAAAGCAGTTCCAGCTCGATTTTCTGGACCTGTCCACATACGCGGCCAAATTCCGGCGTTCTATCCAATCCTCTTTGCTAGCGGGACCTCGCCCCTGGGCCATTCAAAGTGCTGGCCGACGGGTGGCGAGTGCTGCAACTACGCTTTTTTTTAAGTGGCTGTTCCGACGACCCCCTTTTCTTCTTCCTTTTTTTTTTCCTTTTTCTTTTTTTCTTTTTAAGTTTTAACGGTTCCGAAGACTGCCACGTTTCGCTATCACGGACACGTGGCGCCTTCGTTATCCCGTCTGTGGTCCATGAAAGCTGCTGTGCTTCCCATCAATAATCTGATCGTTTCTCTCTTTTCTTACTCTGGAAATAGACAGGAATCGGTTCGCTCTAATTAACTGCTCATTTAAGTGCTCATTTTTCTTTCTCAGGACGGGATTCGCTCCTGTTCTCTCGTCGGTTTTTTTTTGTTTTTTTTTTTCTAGAGGGTAAAGAGTTTGGTGATAAGGGGGCCACGGGGTGTCGGAGAATAGGAGCGGTCATTTCCTCCTTACGCCAACGTGAGTGCATCATCCACCAGGTGCGTTGTCTGCCGCGGACGGCTTTCGCTCATTCCCCACCTCACGTCCTTCCCCTTCGCTCGTGCCTTCTCTTCTCCCTCTCTCTTTCCTTCAGTCACCATATCCGTTCCTCGTCTTCTGCGTGTATCCATTTCTCTGTCCTTCGTTCGCCATAGCCGTTTCTCTGCGTCTTCTGTCTGTTCTTCATTCTCCATAGCCGTTGCTCTGCGTCTTCTGTATGTCCTTCCTCCTCCATTATGATAGCCGTTGCTCTGCGTCTTCTCTCTGTCATTCCTTCTACATAGCCGTTGCTCTGCCTCTTCTCTCCGTCCTTCGCTCGCCATCGCCGTTGCTCGGCTTCTTCTCTCTGTCCTTCGTTCGCCATAGCCGTTTCGCTGTGTCTTCTCTCTGTCCTTCGTTCGCCATAGCCATTGCATAGCCATTGCTCTGCGTCGTCTCTGTGTCCTTCGTTCACCATAGCCGTTGCTCGGCGTCTTCTCTTTGTACTTCATTCGCCATAGCCGTTGCTTGGCGTCTTCTCTCTGTCCTTCGTTCGCCATAGCCATTGCTCTGCGACAGCCGTTGCATAGCGGTTGCTCTGCGTCTTCTCTTTGTCCTTCGTTCACCATAGCCGTTGCTCGGCCTCTTCTCTCTGTCCTTCGTTCGCCATAGCCGTTGCTCTGCGTCTTCTCCTTCTCTCGCCCTCTCTTTCTTTGAATTCTTTCCGTCGCCATAGCCGTCGGCTCTGGAAAGCAGATAGACGAACACAGAAAGACGGAGCAGTCTCAGCAACTTGCCCTCCAGACTGCCGTACGAGGAGATTACCTCTCTGCGACCAGTTTCATTGTACTTGGCTTTCGATCGATTGGTCTCAGCTGCGTTTTGTCTATTATATAACCTTTAAATTTAATCTCGCTCTTGCAATCTGATTATGAAGAACTACTTTTTTTTTTCTTCAATATCTTTAGACTTTTGTGCTCCTGGGATTTTATTCTCTTTCGAAATCATCTGTTGCTTAGCTTGTATTGCCTGCGTGATATTCTGAGTGGCATTTGTGGAATTTTGGGAGTTCACCCTCATACCTGAGGCTGAGTTTGACGTTCAGTCCTTCGTGATACCTGCAGCGATAGACAAAAAATATACCGTCACCTCTTTCGCTACGGCGAGCTTGGGCGAACGGCCTGTTGTTTTCACATTGAAAAAGCCGTACGGGGAAGAATTATCGAAAGTCTCTCCTCCTCTACGCCAAAGGAGTTCCTGTTTTCACATCAAACGGCGTTCCTACTGAAGATATTCTGGAGCGTGTGGCAGTTCATTTGGTCGTTCTTCGCGAAGGTGAGACAGAGAGAGAGAGCACAAATACCGTCTCCCTTTTTTTTTTTTTTTTTTTTTTTTTTTGCCTTGCATTGTAAATTTGGAAGAAATCCCGTTAAATAAAGAGAATAAATGCCGTTGACTTTTTGTCTTTTTTTCTTTTTTTTAATAGCAAACGTGATCTCTGTGAGCGTTTCTCGATGTGATTGGAGCGATGGCTCTCGCCACAGGGCACACGAAACCCGAAAAGAACGAGTGTATTTTGCCGCTATTTGTGGGTAAATGCAATTGTTTTTTTTTTTTGTTTTTTTTTTAACCTGTTTCGCATGCCGTGTGGCGAGGCGCTGTGATGCTGATTGCCTCAGCGGACTCTTTGAGAGGTTCCGCTCTGTTCGGACTGATCTGGGTAGGAGTTCCATGAATGATGAATGTATCCGACTGTAATTACGGCCATGGCCGGATCTATCTGACCGTATTTACGTCAGCTCAGTCGAAATAGTTTTAGTGCGAGCGTGCGCTATTTTTTTTTTTTTTTTTTTTTTTTTACGATAAAGGACAAGTGGTACATCCGCTGGGGGGGGGAAGGTCCCACTACCTTCTTCCCCCGAATACAACGTACGGTCATTATAGTTGAATCTAGACTGAAAGATGCCTCGAATACAGATATAGTGACCGTGCGTTGTATTCGGGGGAAGAAGGTAGCGAAGACGACGTGATTAGGGGCCTGTATCTGTATGCGATTTATGCAGAGATGTAGAAAAGCAGAGCCCATCGCCATTTTCTGCAGCTCTCCACAAACACGTCCAGATTCTGGCGTCAAATCCAATCCTTCTTCCTACCAGTAGTTGGCCCTCCCCGCAAGGCGTTTTATACTAACCCGTCCGTCGCGTCTGCACGAGTGGTCCCCTTGATGATGATTTTTTTTTTTTTTTTTTTTTTTTAATCGTCTATCATCCCTTTCGTCGGCTCTGCACGAGTGATCGCCGTGATGAATTATCTTTTTTTCCTTCTTATTTTTAAATCAAGTCCATCATGATTCCGCTTCGTCATTTTCTCACTGCTTCATCTCCTCTACTGAATTTACTTTTTTTTTTTTTTTTTTTTTTTTCGAATTTTTCTTTTGAATTTACAATTGACTTGAGAGGGCGAGGTCCCACTAGCAAAGAGGGTTGGATTGAGGGCACTCGCCCTCTCAAGTGAAATTTTAAATCAGTAGAAGAGACAAAGCAGCAAACAGAAAAAAGGAGCCGTTTATTTCCTTCTTCAGTGGGACCTCGCCCTCGTAAGTTAAATTAAAATTTGAATTCCCATTCACAATTTAACTTGAGAGGGCGAGGTCCCACTAGCTCCTTTTTTTTTTAAATGGGATCTGCAAAAGTTAAATTGTAAATTGGCTCTAGACTGTGGACGGAGGTGGTGAGAGCTTCGCTCTCGGGTTGGGAGTTTTGAGTTATGTTTTAATTTGAATTCTGTTATTCGAGCTCATCGGACTCTTTTGCGTTTTCTCATCATTGGTTGATGGCTCTTTTTGGCGTGCGTGTGAGATGCGATGTTGAACTATATGGGTGGTATCTTTGTCATCTCTCCTCGTGCTGATGCTGATTTGGCCGATCAGTTCTTCATATCATATAAATTGGCTCCCCCTCAAAAAAGGAGCTACCGGTAGTGGGACCTCGCCCTCTCAAAAAAAGGAGCTAGTGGGACAGATACATTGCACTTGATCTTACTTAGTCAAAAAGGCCAACCCTTTTTTGGCTAAGTAAGAACAAGTGCAGTG